CCCCAAAACCCCAAAACCCCAGGAGAGTAAGATAAGTTACATTCTGGAATATGTCTAGTTATTTAAATTTTAACATATAATTTTAATAATGAACAAAAAATTCTAAGAACTGACTAATCTCTTTGAGATTCTCGTCACAAAGCCTCAATCGAGTGATTCCCTACTTAGCAGGTTCATATAAATGCTTAAATCTAACAATGAATGGTAAGTCAATTTAAATATAACAAATGCTCTTGATAGTTATTACGAATGCATTTTAATGTTTAAGCAATATCTAAAGCAAGAATAGCCTTTAGAACACATTGAACTTACTCTAAACTTACTCGACTAGCTGATGGAATAATGCGATTTTTACTTCCATTTATTAGTGGGTACCTTTGATTTCTTGACCTAACTTGTTAAGCTTCTAAATAGCCAAGGAGTTTCAAAAGAAGTAACGAACTATTAAGTTATTAATTTACATGATTTAGATAAAAGACTATATCTTATCATTGATTCAAGACTGGGGAATAATGTTTTAAAATGATCCAAATTTACCTCTTTTCCAGGAGGTATTCAACACTTTAAAGACAAAGAATGTTTAGTTTCCATCATTGAAGAAAAGCGAAAAGAGCCTTAATAGTACCTAAAATTCAAAAAATTTATTTGATGTGAGTAAGAAAGATGAAACTTTTGGAAAAAATGAAATTATAGAAATACCGAAAAAATATTAGAAGCTTTTAGAAGATATGAATGAGCTAAAAGGTAACATAAATCTTGCCAATATGGTCATGGATAATAATAAACCTGATAAAGATGATACCTTAATGCATGATCTAATTAGACAGCTTTAATAAGTTGGACCCAAATTGTTAGATTTAATAACAACATTTTAGAGCTCTGAATCTGATGAAATACTTAAAGTCATCATACTAGTTGTTGATGATCTACATTTTACATGTATGAGATATGAATAATTCCAGACTGGATAAGCACTTGAAATTTTTATTCCAGGAGAATCCTATCTTAATACATTAATAAATCCTCAAATAATTTATGAAAGGCCTGATGAGAAGTAATTTAGATAATCGATTGAAATGGTTCCTGAACATTTAACATTTTCATCCTTAGCAAATAAAAGTAGATAAGAAGTTTAAAGGTAAAAAAGCTTTCAAGAAGACTCAAATGATAAACATTCTTTTTAAAATGAAAAGATTGAGGAAAATTATCCACGTACTCAATAAAATAGATAAAAATGAGTGATGTATGTTAACGTTCATGATTACATTCATCACCCATCAAATAAAGAAGTTGAGATTCCTAATCTTAAGGATGAAACAATATTATAAATGAGTCAGATTATTTTAAACGTTGAGAATTTAGCAAATTCATTTAGATTCGATTAGAACTAAACTATAGAAACTATATTTGGGATAAAAGTAAATGAAGACGATGATGACTTTGATGATTCTCGTAATTGCAAGTGAAAGTCAACTCTTGAACATAGAATTAATATGGTACATTCTTCTCCTGCAAAGAAAATATTTCCAATGGTTAGTTACTTTGATTCTAATAAGGTTGCTCAAAGGAAAATTATTGTGAATCTAAATGAAAACTAGAATAAAGGAGACATTAACGATGAATTTTAGTAAATAATAAGCTAAGCCTTTGGAGGAGAAATTAATACTCCAACTACTTAATAATCTGAAGTATAGCTTTCTAAATAAGACTCTAAGATGTCAGAATTTAATCAGCTAAACTTATTTGATCTTAGAAAATCGCAAATACATGCAAATCTATTTTCTGATTCGAAGTAAGAAGCTCAAGATAGTAATGATGTATAATAGCAAATGCCTAATGATTACTATCAAAACTTCAACTTTTTTGAGGCTACAAATAAAGGAGCTATTTAGGATTAATAACTTGATTTCATAGGAAGAATTAGCCTCTCAAGTCATTTTAGCAGTATTGAGTCCTCAAATGCAGCTCAAATTATAAAAGGATTTCAAGAATAAAAAGCTTAAGAATTGAGAAGGGTTTCTTACTTGAGAGTAACACCAAGTATTGTTAATGAAGCCAAATAATTTTTTGGTAAAGGTAAAGCAATGAAAGGAAATAAGCAAATTCAGGAATAAAAATCAGAAAATCTATATGAGAGCAGTGATGAAGACGATACTGATTTATTTGAAAGGGATGTTGATTTTGATACTGGAAAAATGATGGCTGCAAAGAATAAACTATAAACTAAGAAATCAGGGCCAGTAAAGCTAGCAATGGGATAGAGTATTAACTTATTTGGAGATACCATCAATTCTTAAGATCTTTCAAACACTGATAAGAGAGAAAGCATTCAAAGAGCAATCTTTAATATTCTCTGATAATAGATATAATGGATAGTCATTCCTAAATAGTGAGAAAAATGTTAAATAATAATATTAAATTTATTCTCTAAATAAATCTTTAAACATTCATTTTTAACATTGAAGATTGGGGTTTTGGGGTTTTGGGGTTTTGGGG